TTCCTTTCTCTCAAAGATCCTCATAACTCATGTGTACTTCCGCCTTTTGCATCTCACTTAACTGACGTGGCATATGGTCATGCGTGTAACTTAAAGTTTCACATGCAACCAATATTTGGTCCCAGTTTTAGTGAACCACGGCTCCATAACGGCCCAAGGTTTATCACGAGGTCGGGTACGCTTGAACCCCTTTGTGGGTTCAGCTTGTATTTGTTGTGGGCTTGAGCTAGTAATGGATTCATTGCAAACCTGCAATGCATCACGATGCACTGTAGGTTCATTGCATGCTTGCGATGCGCCGTAGGTTTATCATAGGGAAAGGTCGGCTATGGGCTAATTGCAAGCGTTTGTATGGCATCAATCCAGTATTTATTGTGCTTTGAGGGACTAAGCAAGCACTATGTACTAATAGTAGCCAAATTGACGGTGTACCCAGTCTGGACGGTAACAGGCAAGCTGAGCCTCACTTGTGCGATTAAGATACGCAATGACACAGAGCCACGTTATCAATCGTGCTATGCTTGCAACAAAACTCTCGACCCCCACATCACACGGTTGGCCACTGTCTTTGGGAACTGCAACACTGACATAGAGTGGCATTAAGTGGGGCACAACCTGGGCATACGGCCTCCATACGAACCCATCGAGCGAAACCGGCTTCGAGTCAATTTCACTCATCTTGAACTGCTTGTGCATGTCAGCTTGAAGCTAGTGTTTTCCCCTGCAAACTTCAACTACCCTCCCCTCATATTCGTCCCCCTACATAGTGGCAACAGATATGCGCATCGGAGAAAGAGGTCAAGGTGTGACGCTGAGGCCAAAGCGCTCACACAGAAACATCCATAGGAAGGGTGCGCATACATAATTGATATGCCTCTTGCAACTCGGGTCCGTAAATTGTTGGACGATGTCATCCATCTGTTCACATAAATAACCTAGGAACATAAAGGCCAAGGGTAGTTGATGGCCACTAGCAGCTAGGATGACAAGGGGGAGCAAAACCAGGTGCAACCAATAGTCAGGAAGTCCTGGGAAAAGAAATCGAGAACCAATATACGAAATGAAAGCGGCGAGGTGGCATTGGCTATCCGCCCTGCGTACCATCACATTCCCTTTATCGTGGGACTCGAACCAATATTCTAACCACTGCTCCAACGACATCTCTCTCCAGGCAGAAGACTGGTCCACTAAGGCTTTGTACGAGGCAATCTCATCGATGAGTTCATCGCACATCCCTCTTAAATCAAAAGGAATGGACTCAATGTGTTGGAGATGTTGAGCAAATACAGAGCCCTCGATGGGTAATGCCAATAACGCAACCACATCCTCAACAGTAATGTAAACTCCTTGAATGTGCCCATGAACGTGTGGGTATGACAACACCAATGTTCCAAGAGGGGCTTTACATATTTCACCCCTTCTATAAGAGAGATTTGTGTAACAATCCACAAACCGGAGAACACCAGCATCCTACAACATCCAATAATACATAGGGTTTTCAAGTACAAACTCTGCCCAGGCACTATAGTTGTTGGGCGATTTGGAGCCATCGGTCCTTGGCTCTTGACACTTGTACAACACCGACCGGTCCGGCTGGCCACACAATCACATCAAATCCATGCTATTGATGATGTTGAACACACCATCTTTACCCCTAAACACTAGCACCGAGGGCCAAAAACCCCGTCCCACGATGTCCACCACAATTGTTTCCCTCTCCAATAGTAACTCTACTATATCCACTTCCCTGACAAAGTTGACGAAAGGATAGTCATTGTTCTTTTGACGAGGAGCCATGACTGGCAGAAAACAACTAGGATGTGAAACAAGAACAAGAGCACAAAGAGGGCTTCAAGGAAGACAAAAGAGTACACAGAAAGAGAAAAGAGAGACGATAGCAAGAAGGCGAAGTAAAGAGCCAATCAGGCTTGTTGTCTCTTTATAAGCGGGTCTCACATGTTGGGAATGACAAACGGCACTGGGGAAGATGAACAGGCATGAGTACAGCCCTTCAGTCGAAGCGTAACGAAAAAGTAAGTGAAACTTACTCATCTACCCTCTAAAAGGCAGGACAAAATGGCACATTAATTTAAACAAAGCATCATGTCATCAACCGCCACTTTAAATATCGAATATCACATCCCTATTGCACGAGCGAATAGACCACATTTATTATGATATGACGGTTAAGAAAACCTAATGATCCCTACCACGTCCTCRTTACTTAAGATCTTCCTCGACTTCCATCAGTCATTGAATATGATAAGTCATTGAACCTTACACCATTAACCGATACCGTGTAGCTGCAAAAGACATTACTTTGACATACAAGGGGGCTGAATGCCCACACTGAAGCAACAACACGAATGTCTTTTGCTAATTTCCTTCCTGCCAATGGTTAGGGGGGCTAAAGCTTGCAAATCCAATACAAAGTTGCCCACTGATAGAACGCAAATCATCAAAAGATAGGGGGCTAGACCACAGAAGGGATGAAAACCAATCAAAGAACAAACACCTAACTCTTGCCCAAAGCCACTAACACACAAAGACACATGATTGCTTAAGTAACTAATTCCCAACCTGTCAACAAGCAGGGCAGTTGACAAAAGCCCAAATGAACTTTCCTTCAACCACATGAAATCGCAAAATGGAGTAGATCTCTAGACCCAATGCACAAATACTTACCAACCCATCACAGAACCTCAAGGCAAATGTGAAGGCAAAATGCTTATTGATAAGATTCCACTTACCGATAAGCAGGGGGCTAATGTAGGTACATAGTGCTCGCTCAGTCCTTCAGAATCCAGAAGACACTGAATCGATACCATATAGATGTATGCAATCAATCTTTAGCTAATGAACCACCTGTGATGAACTTGTAGTGTAACGTACATTTGCGATAAACACACGGCTCATCGCATGATCGCAATGGACTTACACTTGACACGAGTTTAAAATAGGTTCTAGTTAAACCAACGATGAATTTTATACACATTTGGTTCTGCGATGAACCTTCGATGCGCGCGACTCTGTGATAAATCTCAAACACACATAGTCATGCGATGAACTCCAAAGGAGAGCGGTCTCGCAATAAACCCCAAATTGTTACAAAGCTATAGTTCGTTGAGAACCAGACATAAGTACTAACCATACGTGTAATTTTAAGTTGAACGCGTGATAAGGCATCACGTATGTTTAATAAAAGGCCRCCTGCTATGCAATGACGTCACTAGCGCCAAGTTGGTTAAATAAGGTGCGAAAGGCGATAGCACACGTGGATAATGATAATCCTCAAGTGAAAGGAAAATCAACCCTTGAGATATCTCTTAAACACATGTGGCAAAACCTTAGCAATGTTCCTTAATGACCGACAACGAATCTAATATTCTCTTTCCTAATAGAACAATGCACTTTTGGCTCCTTCCTTCTAGGACCTCAGGATCCCTTCTTATAAGTAGAGATCCTCCCCATAATAAAGACTATTCATTCAACCATTGATTAACCCAATCATTGGATTCCCTACTCAACCGTCTCATAACTCCCCTTACCCTAGCCTCCCAGTTGATTCTTCACACCCGATCTTCCTTTGTCCTTCAAGGAGACCATCCCCACCTAGCCTGACCACTTCCTACTTATACTTGCCATATAGAACCTTAATACAAAGACTAACCCGTGATCTGGAAGTAACCTTCGAACATCATAACAGAGCAAAAAATAGATTTGCCAATGTGCTAACCACCCTGGGATAAAAAATCCAACCCATCAAAGTTCTGATCGACATCACCATTCAAACACCTTGTGAGCCATCAATCGACAAATTGGGGCACTAGGTAGAAAAAGAGGATGAAATCATGGTAGATGATTGCAGACATAACATAATACAAAAGCTAAGTAACCCAAGGGTGCAACACAGGACAGCAAGGTGATTCTGAAATTCTAATTAGTGAATGGGGTACTGTACTATCAACTAGCAGATGGGGTCAGAACGAGGTGCTTGGGGTCGAAGGAGGCGAAGATAGTCCTAAGCAAGACCCATAGAGCGTACTACGGGGACATAAACAACACACTATACAAAAGCCTATAGAGATTAGGGTACTACTGGCCAATGATGAAGACAAACACGGCTAGGGTGTAGAACGACTATGAGAAGTGCATACCAGAAGTAGATGGAAGAGAATGCTTCGCAGTGGGAGAGGCAAACTAGAGGAGCATGTATATTAATTACCTAAAAGACAACACGTTGCCAGATGACCCGACAATGAGGAGGAGACTTTTATCAAGGGCCAAGAGGTTCTATCTTTAGGAAGGAATGTTGTACAAAAAGTCTCATAGTGGAAAGCCTCTGCAATGTCTAACTAGTGAGGAAGTAGAAGAAGCACTAGAAACGGCCCACAGCTCTGAACCCACCCCACATCAAGGGCAAGTAGCCTTGTACAATCACATCCTACACCTAGGTTTCTACTAACCCACCATGGTAGAAGATACCTAGAAGCACGTGCACAAATGTCATAAGTGCTAGGTGCAAGTCGAGAGGATACACAAACCCGCCAAAAACCTCCACCCCGTCATCATGCCCTGGCCTTTCCACACCTAGGGAGTAGACCACATAGGCAAGATCCACCCATCCTACAGGGGGTATTGTTTCATAATAGTGGACACAAATTATTTCACTAAGTTGGTGGAGGTTGTACCTTTACGAAGAATCTGTGAAGAAAATATAGCGAACTTCCTCAACCAACATGTAGTTCATCGATTCAGAGTCCCAATGAGGATTTGGATAGACAATGGCTTATCCATCAAAAATTAGGAAGTCTGAGACCTTTTAGGGCAGAAGTGAGGTTAGGAATGTCCACAACGTATTACCCGCAAGGGAACGGGCAAGCAAAAGCCACTAACAAGACTTTACTAAGAATGTTGTGCAAGACATTGGCTAACAATCAGAAGGACTGGTCAGAAACCCTCTAGCCTTATCTCACCACAAATAGAAAAGTACGCAGGCAATGCCCTATTCCCTGGTATACGACCAAGAAGCAGTGCTACATGCAGAGATACAGACGGTCTCCGCTCATTTAGCCTTCGAGATGGGAAAGAGATTCAAAACAGAAGACATGGATCAGCTCCTCGAYGAAAMACTAGAAGGTATTGACAAGGAAAGGGAAAAGTTGTTACAAAAACAAATCAAGTACAAACAAGCCTTAGCCGCAAACTTTAACAGACTAGTGAAGCCCGGAAAATTTAGAACAGGAGACAAATTCCTTAAGACATCACTCCATGTTAGGCAAGGCAAATCTGTTGGGATATTTGCTCCTACTTGGGATGGACCATACATGATCAAGGAAGCTCACCCGTCTGGCTATTATGCGCTAAAACCACAGACACTAGGGAGGAGGATGAGAGATGGAGAATGGCAACTAGTTGAAGCCTTATTTTGAATAAGTTGTATAAGATATGATGTGATTGTTACATGTATTTCTTTTAAAAATGAATGCATCAAATATATTACTCATTCTTAGAAATCCTACAAGTTCTTATGTGATTATAACTAGTGTACTTAGATTGTAAATAAAGTGTGATGAATTCTTGAGGCATATGTTAACAATTAATATTTTGCGATAGGATATCTTTTCTCAAGGAGCTTTAAATCTTGCAATAAAGTTTTGAGGTACCCATGTATTAAAGAAATGCAATAAGGATATGATTCTTTGCCAATACATGTTATATACTATGTGTGTGCTAAATCTTGGATATGTCTCTCATACATATATGTAATTATATGCTCACTTATTCCCTAGCGACCGCAGGCGCACACTCATGTTCCCTGGCAACCCCTGAAGCGCATTCATATCCCATGCCCACCCTAGACTTTCATTCATATTCCATAGAAACTCTAGGAAGGCCCTGGCATCCCTAGGAGTGCTCATATTCCCTGGCAACCCCATGCGCGCTCATATTCCCTAGCAACCTCAGGAAGGCCCTAGCAACCCTAGGCACGCTCACAAATTCCCTGGTAACCCCAAGAAGACCTGGCAACCCCAAGCACACTCACATAATCCCTAACAACCCCAGGAAGGCCCTGACAACCCCAAGCGCGCACTCTTATTCCCTAACAACCCCAGGAAGGCCCTGGCAACCCCAGATGTGAACTCTTATTCCCTGGAAACCCCAGGTGCGCACTCTCATCCCCTAGCCACCCCAAGCGCGCTCACACATCCCCTAGCATCCCAAGGGATTCTTTGGTGATATCAAGTATGATCTTTTGGCTAACATATAAGTGCAGGTACTTCATCTAATTTATAAATGCAATGGTCTAAGGGGAATAAATTAACCCACTCCATGTGTAGGCAATAATATTGTGCCAAAAGCAGCACTTGCCCTGATTAATGATGTTTCACTTCAACAAGAGAGCTCAAGTAGTCTTCTCGTGTGACGACCAAAACTTATCGCAAGGGCGGAAAAGGTCTGAGGCTCATGATTATCCTATAATTGCTTTTACAAGTGTGATTGCGATTAGAACATACCTTATGTTAAATATCTCCACTCTAACTAAAGTCCCAACCGTATCACTCGCACATAGACCAGTTTTCTCAAGGCGTGATGACATTCGCCCCGATTGGTAAGAAACCACGTCCCACTTCAGATAACCCTTTCGCTCTTGATGATGTTTTGGAATAGGAACAACACTCGGTTCTCATTATCTCTAATGGTTTGTGGTTAAATACACACTATACATACAATGATAATCAACTACAACCAAAAGTCTGTTGTACTTACATTAATACTTGATTACGATTAAAGTCCAGTATACTTACGGAGGTATTCATTTGCAATAAAGTTTACAGGGCACCCAACCTTAAATTTCATTATCGTATAGTACTGAAACCAGTATAAGTTGAGACGATTCTTAGTCTTAGAACTTTTTAGGGGAATGTGACCCAATATTACACAGGAAACAACTTCGACTCAAAGATTCTTTCTTACAATTAATATGAAATGAAGTCTCATCCTAAACTCATAATGTCTCGACATGTGAAAGTTTTATCAAAAGTTGTTGCAAGGACTTTCTAATAACTGATGACACTCAAAATCTAGAGTAATGAGAAAACATTCCCCTACGGTTGGGGTCGATATGCACTAAAACCTGAACACAATACACCGAGGCCGGTAACCCACTAGTGCTACGATAAAGGCTTGAACACAAAATAACCAAAGCACTAGGAAACCAGCATAGGACAAAAATTATATCTTTCCTTCTCATATAAAATGATTTACAAAAGCAAGTGACTACGGGTATTCACACAGCAGCCCAATCTTTCCTCATATTAATTATATTTTCTAGAGCTTGTTCACGCTCTTCGAAGTCCATCAAATATTTCATCTCCGCTCCATATTCGGCCACTATCTTCTGCTGGCAACCACACTCCATGAGGGCTTCCAGCTTCTCAGTAGCTTTTGAAAGACTGGCCTTGACTATTTTTTTGTGGAGACACACATCCTTCAACAAACGACCGAAAATAGACTGCGATCCTCTAAGACCAGCCTTTCAAAATGCATGGGCCAATAGAATAACCCATTCTTCAATATGTTCYATTTGATCTTCAACCATCGAGAAAATTCTGGCCACAAGAGTTTGTCGTAGGGCCACTTCATGATGTGGTCCATCACCATCACAACAGTGTTCAGGGTGGGCCCCATGACTACCGAAGGAAGGTCAGTAGAGGGTAACCAACCACTCCGGATGACGACTGCAGCAAATTTTGCCATCGAGCCTGACACATAGTAATTATCATTTCTACGTTGCCGCTAGATATGGACCAGGTCTATGGTTTCGTATCCCTAGAGGGCAATATCGTTCTTGTTACAATACTCCGTGAGCTCTTCAAGAACCAGCACAAGCTCTTCCTTGTATGTCAACCCTTCAATCGGCAATACCACCCTGGATCCCTCTGCTCCACTCTCAGGTTGAACCTCCATGTCAACGGGAACTTCAGCCTCAACAGTATAAGTAGGTGTGGCCTTTTCATCATGATGAACTTCGGGCACTCATTTTTCATGTGGTTCCTTGACTAGCACCTTCGCCGTGATTGTCTTCTGTACCACAATCCCACTCTGTCGCAATTAAGAGATGGACCTTTAGGACGTTCAAATGCATCACTGATTGATGGACCTTCCGGAGTAACCGGGACCCCAGGAACCCTTTGAGCATGCATCCCCTTGGTGCCTCCATGGAAACTTGTTCTTCCCACGTGACGGTGGCTGGGGTAACACCATCGGCACCACAACTTTTAGTAGCCTCCTGGTTCTGATTGGGGAGCTGTGTTGACTGCAAGTCTTGCACCAACTGCTTGATAAAAGGTGAAACTGGTGTTGTACGGGGATCTACATCAAAGGGCATCTGTGATACAACAGACATTAGCAAACAATCAATAGACAACCTAATCGCAGTAAAAGCTAATACAAACGATAATGCTACACATACCTTATCGCCCACAACACCCTCGTAAGGGGCCTCTAGGGCCTCCGCACTAGGCTGCGCACTTTCTGCCTCCACACGCTTCAGAACAAAAGATTGTAAATATATTAGTGAAAGAAATAGAAAACCAACTAAATTGATCGTAAATAACATTTCATAATTACACAGGTGTACGAGTTCTTACCCGGTCAACCTTCTCAGGCTCCTTTCTCCGAGGGTGAGGAGCCATTTTCTTCAAACGCCCGCCCGAGAGGCAGACGGTAGTAACCTTCTCGATAGGTACAAGGTTGCTGATTGCATTGACTCTGTGTCAGGCACGTTCTTCACCCCAGGGGGGTCTTGTTCAACTTTCTCTTGGACTGGCGGTGGTGAGCGCCCATCTTGGTGTTCCTTGGCCCGCAATGAGGCCACATCTAAAACAGGAGCCTGTGGCTCTGGTATGTGATACACCCTCGCCAACCTAGGCTTCTTGGTTATAGGAGGGCAGCTACTCTCCCCCTCCTCAAAAACTATGTGTTTCCCCTCTCACCTTGTGCTCACCTTCCTTGGAAAATGCGATGGAGGAGTGGCTTGACTTTGACCCTAGTTAGTCGCATGACCATCGAGTGGAGCCAAGACATGGCGCAGGCGAGGGTTTGATGTCATTATCATTTGATAACCCCCGAGCAATGCACAAAGATGAGCAAAGTGGAGGGAATTACAGTTCTACACCCTCAAATACCCCGTGATAAGGAATTGCGAACACCCTAGAAATGCAAGGTCATGGTGTCAAACCCAGAACACATCTTCTCCGGAGGACCACAAGAATTGGGCACCCATGTCATCATAACCAAACTGTCAAAGTACCCAGTCCAGGCGGTAAACAGTCAGCTGATCCTCATTGGCACGATCAAGGTACGCTATGACACTAGGCTAGGTTATTAGTCGTGTTATGCCTGCAGTAGGACTCTTGACCCCCATGGTGCATTGCTAATCACTGCCTTTTGGAACCGAAATGCCAATACATAACGGCATTGCGTGATGCACAGCTTGAGCATACGACCTCCATACAAACCCATTGAGGGAAGGCATCTTCTAGTCAATTTCACTTATTTTGAATTGGTTATGCCTATTAGCATGAAGSCAGTGTTTCCCCCTRTARACCTCGATCACTTTATTTTCAGACTCATCTCCCTCCATGGTGGAAACAGCAACATGCATCGGGGAAAGAATGCAAGATGTGACGTTAAGCGCTCACACAAAAACATCCACAGGAAGGGGGCACAGATGTAGCTAATATGTCTCTTGCAACTTGGGTCCATTATCTTCTAGATGGTGTCGTCCATTTGCTCATACAAATAACCCAGGAACATAGAAGCTAAGGGTAGTTGGTGGCCACTAACAACAAGGATGGTGAGGAGCACCAAAATGATGCACAATCCAAAATCTGGTAACCCCGAGAAGAGGAAATGGGAGATACATAGAGAATGAAAGTGGAGAGGTGACACTGGCTATCGGGTCCCCGCACCATTACATCCATCCTACTGTGGGAYTCGAACCAATATTCCAACCACACTTCCGATGGCATTTTACCCTAGGCAAATGATTGGTCCACTAATGCTTTCAACACGGCAATCTCATTGAAGAGCTCATCGCAGAGCTGCCTCGGCAAGAATAGACTCTAGGTGTTGGAGATGCTGAGCAGACACAGACCCACCTATAAGCAACGCCAGCAAGGCAACGACATCCTCCACGGTGATGGTGAACTCACTGAACACACCCACGAATGTGTGGTTACGACAACACCAGTGTTCAAAAAGGGGTTTTACATACTTTACCCCTTCTCTGCTGCAAAGACCCGTGTAGCAGTCCATGAACCGAAGAAGACCAGAGTCTTGTAGCATTTGACAATACATTGGATTTTCCAAGATGTGTTGTCAGTCCTAGGTTCCTAACATTTATACGAAACTAACTGATCTAGCC